CCAACATCCAACAGATGTTATTCTTATATGTGCACTTATGTGTTGATCAGTTAATACCAATTTGATGGTGAGTACATGTGGTGCTTGTCTTTCCATTCAAAAATATGGAACGCCTCACGAATTTGTGTGTCATCCTTGCGCAGGGGCCATGCTAATCTTCTCTGTATCGTTCCAATTTTAGTATATGTGCTGCCGAAGCGAGCACGTAGAGTGCAATTTTTAAAAATGATTCGTTTTTGCAATTACTTGTTCTTCTTCTTCAATTTTCTATAAATCACTTCCTTAACTTCTACAACTGTTAATACTCCTTTTTCTCAGCCCTCTAATAAACGGCAGCATTGTAGTCATTTATTTAGGGATCTAACCTCTCTTAACACAATCCACACATATGAACCCAAATTTCTGGTCTCTTTTCCTTCCAGAATTCATATCCTTTCTATGTCCTCAAAGATTAATTCTAAAGACATGCAGCAATACCCTAAATATATTTTAGTAAAGCCTGATTTATCAACATATACTACTGCAATAAAGAAATGTGGCACATACTACATAGTTTTCTAACAAACTGTTTCTAAGAAATTTAATCCTTCGTCTTATAAAACTAAGTGACTGCCTCTTGTGTTTTGATCAAACCCTGTAATATTTTCAATACAAAGATACTTTAAAGAAAGAATGTTATATTGAGTCATTTCTTTCAATGACTTTATTGTTCATAATTTATTTTCTACTCTATCAACAATATCCACTGTTTATATATATATTTTCCCCACATCACAAATTAATCAAAGTACATAAGTAAAAAAGTTTTTCTATCATTAAGCTGGATTACATGCAATTGTCAGCAGGAACCAGATAATTTTCAGCCTTGTTGTTTGTCATAATTAAATATTAGAATAAATAACAATCTTTTAAAAATACCTTTGGTTTCTTCTACAGCAAGTTTATCACAAATCTGCTTTTCATAGGTACAAAGATGCTCCAAGGCTTCTCTATAAAGACCTGCTTCCCGAAGAACTTGATTCTGATATAAAAGTAGTTCACTATATTCATAATCCACCTTATCAGGGGATGTCTGTATACAGATATAAGGATTATTAACAGTAAGAATTTTATTTTCCTATCAGAAAATTGTCTACAACACTCAAAATTATGTAAGAAGTCAAAGGATAACATCTGAATGATAGTAAACTAATTTTTAAAACAAATTCCTAAATATCTATGGAACTAAATAAACTATGATAATATTAACTTATAATACACTGAATAAAAGAATAATCCATAAGTCCTTGCATATAACAAATAAATGGGGAAGAAGGGAAAGCTCTTGTATTTAACAGTAGAATGCCAAATAAATCTAGAAGAAATGACAGAGTTAGGGAATCACCATTTTGCAACTACCACAGTAATAGTTGATTCAGGGAAGAATCAAAATAATGAATGCTAAAACTAGTAGTGAAAGTTTGATGAGGAACAAGTTATTCAGTCTCAAATCGTGTATTAAACACAAAGAGAAAAACAAATTTACAGTTGCAAATACCACCTTGACCAAGTAATCAAATGGAACAAACAAATGTCGTGTGCCTCTTGATGTGATGAACAAAGAAGGACCCAACATCACTTCTACGGTTTCCTGCCAAAACTGTGTAACTGTATCTAATAATGAAGAAACATCTGACAAATCCAAATTAAGGGACATTCTACAAGCACAGCCCTATACTCTTCAAAAATACGTATGTCATGAAATCCAAAGGAACTCTTCAAAACTGTTCCAGATTAATAGTGACTGTGAAGAGAAATGATAGCTAAATTCAAAATGTGATTCTAAAATGAATCTTGGAGTGGAAAAAAAATTACTAGAAAGGATACAACTAGGACAATTAATAAATTCTTAATGTGGGCTATAGATTAGTGATAGTCTATGACTGTTAAATTTCCTATTTTGATAATCTATAGGTAAAATACTATCTATAGAACTGACAACTATACAGTTGTTTTTAGAAAATACACACTGAAGGATTTAGGGGTGCAAGATCATGACATCTGCAATTACTCTAAAATATGTTTAAGGTAGAAAATTTAAATAGATAAATAGATACAGAGATTTTGAAGCAAATGTGTCAAACACTAACAATTAGCTAATGTGAGTGAACTCCTCTGTTGGAGTTCTTTGTAAACTGCTCTTGCAACTTTTCTGTAAGTTTGAAACTATTTCAAAATAAAAAGTTAGCCAGACTATGTACAGTTTTTTCTTTTAGTTATACTTAGAATCAGACCTAGTAAAATGGCTTCTGGTTATTACCTGTTGTGTTTTCCTAAATTCTTCTAAAATTTTTGCTGCCATTTCATAATCTTCTAATAAATGGTAAGCGATAGCATAACCTATCCATGATGCTCTCTGTGCAGGTCGAAGCTGAAGTAATTGGTATCTCGTTTCCTTTAAAAGGAAAAAAAAAAAACCACTTTCTCTTAGGCTTACACCTAAAAAGCAGATGCTCCTTTTAAGATCGTATTAATTTATCCCACAACACTAAGCATTTTGCACCACAATGCTAGGAATAATAAAAAATAGTTTCAAACATCCTTGTTTTGTAGCTTTATAGAGACAAAGAAATATTTGTTAAGCAGCACAATGAGAGGATGTGGTGGCTCATGCCTATAATCCGAGCGACATGGGAGGCTGAAGCAGAAGGATCAGTTGAGGCCAGGGTTTTGACACCAACCTGGGCAACACAGTAAGACCGATCTCAAAGGAAAAAAAAAAAAACAACCCTGGAAAAAATTAGCTGGGTGTGGTGGCTATGGCCTGTAGTCCTAGCTACTTGTGAGGCTGAGACAGGAGGATAGCTTGAGCCCAGTAGTTCAAGGCTCAGTGAGCTAAACTGTACCATGGCACTCCAGCCTGGGCAACTGAGACCATATTTCCTTAAAAAAAAAAAAAAAAAAGAAGCACAAAGAAACCTCTAATATAATCTGATAATTTACTTATTAAAAACTTAAGACCAGCTATCCTTATTTATTTCCTGATCTACTTACTCTAAGAAAAGAGACAGGATGGAAAACAGTATAAAGGAAAAAAATCATTCAAGAATTCTTAAAAAAAATAGTGACCAACATTAGAGTTAAGATATATACAGGAAACAATTCAGTAGGTACTACCATTCAAAAAAAAAAAAAAAGACAAGACAGAATATGAGAGAGGAACTAAATAGATCCAAGACTGATTTAAAGATCAAAATTGAAGCTACAAAAACATACTAGTCTCCCTGGATGTAAAACAAAAAAATTTGCTTTCCAAAAAAATGTGGGTGGCAAAAGTTATAGCTGTGTGTTAATACCAGACAAAGGCATTGTGTATTTGAGTATTAATGTTAACTTTTATATCAAATTGATTAAATGAACCCTACACATTAATACAAATCTGCCTCGCAGTAAAGTAACTTATTTTAAAGATCTGATTATTCCAATCATAAATACAAACTACTATGGTAGGAGGAAAAAAGCATTCAATGAAGTTATTTTCAAAATGAAATGGAAAATTTCTTTATTAGGAAGTACTCCAAGTTTTAAATAATATTTTCCCCTTAGAATAAAAAAAAATCTCTATTTTACTTACCCTGTAACCCTCAAGATCTCGCATTTGAATCTGTAGTAAGGAAAGGTCCCTTAAGATTTGAAGATTGTCTTTATCCCATTTTAGTGCATTTCTGTAACACTTAATGGCTTCATCATACTTCTTGTCTGACCTCTGAAGAAGGCCGTAAACATGCCAACCTAATGAATTTTAGTTAAGGATACAAGCTACAAGTCAAGAAATACTATTCCAAATGATCTCTGAAGAAACTTGGAGAACTACAGCCATACATAAAATAAGCTTTAAAAAAGGGGATGGGAGGGAATACAAGGATAGAAGGCAGTTTAATACAGTGGAAGAGTACAGCTTTTGGAGCCAGAGAAAATTAGTTCTAGCTTGCCTTACTAGCTCTGTAATCTTGGACAAGTTAGTCTCATTAAGTTTCTTCACTTATAAAATGTAAATAAGTAGAAATGTAAATAGCAAATCATACTAGTGACAGCTAAATGGGATAATTAAAGTGCTTACTGGCTGGCACAAAGTAAACAGTTAATAACTGTAAAGAGTTCTCTTTATTATTAAAAGGAAAAAGAAGAAATAGGTCTTCATGGACTTTAATTACATAAAAGCATGTAGATTTTCTTTTCCTTAGATAACAAGGTCCTTAAGACAGCCTTTATGCAGTACAAAGTTCCTAAACTCAATCATGTATAAAATAAAAACATTCATTCATTCAATAAATATTAAAAATTCTTAATAATTAGGGTAAAAGTGATGTGATCAAAATAGTCTTCTACATTCAAACAACTTAAAGTCTAGAAAGGACACATAAGCAAAATTACAATGGGTTGTAAAAAATGCTATAAAGGCAAAAAAATCCCACTCAATACAGGACAGATTCTTTTCAATTTAGAGCTTGATTACTGCAAGTCAGCCAATCCACCTACCTTCAGTCTCTCTTCTTTTATTCTCTCCTACCAAATTAATCTTTCTAAAACACACATAATCAAAAGGAAAAAAATCTACTCCCTTTCCAGAAATGTAATATTTCTCTCTCAGATCAGGCTCAAACTTCAATCTAACAACTTTTAGGCCACAGATTCTCAACAGTCACTAAAATACAGAATGTCTAGGATGGTATGTATAACTTATAACACATATTTAATATTACAAATTTTATTTGAAAAATAATCTTTGTTTTCATAATATAAATGACTAAGTAAAGCTTGACAAAATCCTTTCAGCTGATTGGAACAAGGTTTTAAAAACCTAAGAAATACCACCCTTCAAAATTTGGCTCCTATTACCTATCTTCCCACTCCCTCTCATTTCTGTCACAATGTCTTATATTTCAGGACTTTATCTTCCCTGAGCATTACAACCTTATAACTAACTGCCTCTAATCTTCACCTCCTAAAAAATCCTACCCTGAAGGAGTTAAACATTGCTAAAAAGTTAAAGAAATTTATGTCCATCAAAAGGAAATCAATTAAATAAATCACAGTAAATACACATAGAACACTATACAATTATTAAACATGAGGGAAAGATATCTATAACAGTCTTATCATTTAAGCCCCTTGCTTACCTTTCTAGTCCTTTGGTCACTCTCAATTCACACACTTCTGCTTTACTGAGTTAGTGACAATTCTTTGAAAAAGCCATAACATATTATGTAATGCTCAAAAGTGTGTTGTACATGCTTCTAAGAAGTATCTTCCTTCACTAGACTCTACGTTCCTTGAGAGCAAAATCCATCTATTTTTTTCATATGTACTGTGCCAGGGGCCTGGTAAACATTTCACATTTTGCTAAATGTTTCAGCACTTATGTTAGCCCACAAAGTAGGTACAGAAATATTTGTTAAAACAGACTATTTAAAAAACAGCAACCCACAATTTTTTCTCTATCTTCCCTCATACATTTCTACTTGCTCCCACCCTCACACTTCCCTAAATAAAATTTATCTATTATGGTACTTAACATTATCAAGGACTACATTATATATTCCATCATTAAATCTTTATACCACCATAATGAGGTGGGTATGATTTTACACATGAAGAAACTGAACCCTAAGATCATATAGTAAGAAAGAAGTTTTGAACCCAAGTGAAGCACACTCCAAGCCTACACTCCAAAAGCCTGTGCTGTTAACCAGTGCACTACAATGCCTCTCTAATATTCCTTATTATATATCCTTCTCTAAAGTTGTGACCATGATAAAACTGCATGCCTGTCTTAGTCCATTTGGGCTGCTATAACAAAATATCTTAGACTGGGTAATTTATAAATAACAGAAATTTATTGCTCGCAGTTCTAGAGGCTAAAAAGATCACGGTGCCAACAGATTCAATGTCTGGTAAACAGAAAGGGCTTGCTTTCTGTTTCATAGATGGTACTTTCTAGCTGTGTCCTCTTATGGCTAAAAAGGCAAACCAGCTCCCTGGGGCCTCTTTTATAAGGGTACTAATCTTATTCATGAAGGCTTCACACTCATGACCTATTCTCCTCCCAAAGACCCCACCTCCCAATACCATTGCACAGATGATTAGGTTTCAACATATGAAGGGATGGGGTGACAAACATTTGGACCATCACCATGTCCCCCCTTTTAAGAGTGCAATGCCCCCCTTTTTTAGGAGTGGCAAAAGCTTTCACAGATATTTGTAACAGCATTTATCGATGAGATAGAGGTAATGTTAAGACATGGTAGGTATATAAAAAGGTATTGAGTAGGTATATAAAATGTACTGGCAGGTATATAAAAATGAATGAAGGTAGTCGCTGTTATTCTATTTAAAACAGAATAATTTCCTCTAGAGTTGCATAATAAGTAGAGTCTAAAACTTCTGATTTTCAAACTGCTACGTTAGCTCAAAATACTCCAATCAATCCTTAAATATATCTCAAAAAGGATACACACATGACTCTTCAAGTCATTTCTCAAACCTCTACGAACCAATTCGTAAGCTTCTTCCTTTTTTCCCAAACAGTTCAATGTTAATCCTTTCATAGCCAGGGTTTCTATTTTTAAAAACAAAGAAAAATAAGAAAAAAGAAAGGAATTAAACATTAAAATCATTAACAACAAAAGGTAACTATAATCTCAAAAACAAATGTACGTTATCCTAAGAATTAAAATTTTCAAGGAGAAAGATGTAAAATATTTTTAAAAATTGACAAACCAAGCAAACACAGATCTCTCAACTATTCTCAGAAGGCTTTCCTAGATTTTTTTTAGATTAAAAGAACACAAAATGCATGTACATCTGACTAGAAAGATAATTCAGTAATTCATATTCTGACAAGATACAATCACTCTACTATTGTTCTTCAGGAGAATTCCATGGGATGACTTTATATAACTATTTCATTAAAATATGAAAACTTTATCTTGAAAACAGACTATTTCTGTGAACCTAAGTTATGTTAAATTCACTCCACAATAATTAAAACATACACATAAACTGCCTACATTTCTGGCTTTCATAAAGTTATTTTAGGGGTGGGGGATGAAAAACAATAAAGTTATTTTAAAATGATTCTTTGGGATTACTATTAAATATACATGCAAAAGATGTCAGAAATCTGTCATTAGCAATCAACAGATTAAAAGAGAGATTTAAGGGAAATTTTAAGTTTTCAGAAAAGAAGAAAGATTTCTAATTTTATGTGTACCTTATGAAGTGTAAAGGAATAAAAAATACTCATTATGATTTACTGGCCTAACTTTCAGGACCAAAATTTAGAATATACAGAAAAATTACTTAGGTATAAAAATAGAATTAAAGGTATAATCCTCAGGAGGAGTCAACATGTAGTGTTTAAAAATACATTCAATGAAATTATGACACTTCATATGCAACGTGATTTCAGATACTTTCAAATATGAGAGGAAATCAGGCCGGGCGCGGTGGCTCACGCCTGTAATCCTAGCTCTCTGGGAGGCCGAGGCGGGCGGATTGTTTGAGCTCAGGAGTTCGAGACCAGCCTGAGCAAGAGTGAGACCCCGTCTCTACTAAAATTAGAAAGAAATTAATCGGCCAACTAAAAATATATAGAAAAATTAGCCGGGCATGGTGGCGCGTGCCTGTAGTCCCAGCTACTCGGGAGGCTGAGGCAGAAGGATCGCTTGAGCCCAGGAGTTTGAGGTTGCTGTGAGCAAGGCCGACGCCACGGCACTCACTGTAGCCCGGGCAAAAGAGTGAGATTCTGTCTCAAAAAAAAAAAAATATGAGAGGAAATCACATTTTAGAAACAATGAAATAACATGGGAAAAACTGCATTTTAGAAACAATGAAATTTGGTACTCTTCTGTACCGAAACTATCATGATTACATTACTAAAAGTCACCTTACCAGTACTGGCCACTTTAGAAATGAATATAAAATAACCTAGTATCCAGCTGGCCAGCAAAAAGATATAATTTTTAACAAGGAAAAGGAAAAAGAGAAACTTAGAGACTTTTACCTCCACTGCTTTTCATCTCCAAACAACTGCAGTGAAAGTATAAAGTGAAACTCAGTGAAGAGTAAAAAGTATTGTAAATGTGGGCAAAAAAGTGAAGAAGCTAATAGAGAATTATTACGCTCCCCCGCCTCTTTAATACTAAGAGCACATTAACGAATTAATTACGGAATAGTCATGTTTCCTAACTCGGTACAAATCAGACCTGCAAAAGCTTATTTTCCCTTGTCTCTTCACAAGTTTAGCCACACATCCCCCCTTATTCTACAAAAATCTCACCACACAATTGTCTACCTTCACATAGTAAAAGCCAATAAATTTTCGGAGCACTACAATATATAAATCACGCCTTAAATATGCCTACGTCTTGAAAAACTAAGATACAATATATAAAAAGATGATAGTTCACAAGCAAAGGAGTAAATGGTCACTTTCTGAATGAACTTATTGTCAAGCATAAATTTTCTTTAGCTGAACCAAAGTTCTAACATAAATTTTTCTTATAACAGTATTTTATTTAAATAAGCATACTACCATATGAGGTTCTTCTGTCTTTGCTATAGAGCTAAAATTCAAAATAGGAATACATCAGAACTCAAGTAGAACATGTTATTTTTTTGACATTAAATTCAAAATTCAGTATTAAATTTCATCTTCTCATAGGAAGATATGAGAGTCCATTCTCTCTCTGAAAAATTGTTAAGACAGCTAGGAATAATACCACCTAGTAAGAGAAGCCAGGCAGGTATGCCATAAAACCTTATCTACTTCCACTTACCTCCATGCTCTGCAAATTTGGGATTAGAGAGGATTTGTTTACAGAATTTCAATCCATTTCTATACTGTTTATGTTCATAACATCTCTGTCAAAACAAAAAGAAAATCTTGAATTTGGTAAGAAATGCAAACAACTTTAAGCTCAATGTTAAACTTTTTATTCTGTTAAATACAAAAGAATTTTATTTCCATGTTCTTCTAAATCCCATTAAAATGCCACTCAAAAAACACAAAAGGTTCAAATACAGAAAGTAAAAGCAAGACAAAGGGACAGAATATAGATTAGAAAGAATAAGAAAAACATAAATTCACTCCAAAAAGTCCAACAACTGAGTGGTGCAGAAAGTGAAAATAGAAAAATAAAAGGTATAGACATTATATTTTAAAATAACTTTTTTTATTGAAGGAAAAAAGCTTTCAAGCTGAAGGAATCAAACAAGTGCACGTAAAATAAATGGAAAAGAAGACCCACGCCATGGCACATCATATCAAAATTTCCAATCCTGAAAAGCTCTTCCAGAGAGGAAAAAAACCAAATCACATAAAAAGAATTTATAATCAGAATGGCACTGAACTTTTATTCCAAAGTAAAAACAAAATACCGCTGAAAGCTAGAAAATAAATATACAGGCTTCAAAATTCAGAACGAACATTAAGTTTCAACCTGTAATTCTATAACCAGTCAAGTTATCAATCAAATATAGTTGGCCCCCATAGCCATGAGTTCCACCAACTTCAGATGGAAACGATTCAGGACAAAAAACTGCATCTGTACTGAATATGTCCCCTTTTTTTCCCTTGTCATTATGCCCTAAACAATACAGTTTAACAACTATTTACACAGCATTTACATTGTATTAGGTATTTTAAGTAATCTTGAGATGATTTACAGTATACATGAGGGTGAGCACAGGTTATATGCAAATACTACACCATTTATATCAGGGACTTGAGCATCCCTGGATTTTAACATCTGAGGGAGGTCTTGAACCCATCCCCCACACATACCAAAAAGACTGTATATGAGCAAAATGACATTTTAAGGTTTGAAGAAAGCTAAACTTTTATCTCCATGTACTCTTCCTTAGAAAACTATTAAAAGAAATTTTTAAAAAGAAAATATGGGACTTAGTAAGTAAGGAATCTAATACAGAAAAAAGGACTAGAGAGCAGCCACTCCAAATTGGAACTGGAAGCCAAAGGCTGCCACAGAATAAATTTCCAGCAAGAGCAAAACTGGAACTGGTATGCTTGACGATATGGGAAATATTATTTACAAGCACATGACAGAAACATAGGCACATCTGGAGAAAATGAGCAATACGTCCACAGAAACCCAGGCAACTGACTAAATGAAACAGATATTAACTTCACGAAAAATAAAGGCTTGTATAAGAAAGGATGTGTGAATTAGTGTTCTATTTGGCTTAATAGTGAACAATATATGCATACCTTTTGTAAATATTCAGTACTAGCTTATCAAAAATTGTGATATGACTATATTGGAGGAATGAGGAAAATAAAAGTGGGCAAATGTTTGAATGAGGAAGTCTGAGTCCTCATTTTCAATAACCTGAAGTCGACAAATGTCTAAAAGTTACATATTAAGAAATAGTCATGTATTATTAAGCAACAGGAAGGCAAATATCAGAGAATATACAGGACTGAGGTTGTTTAATTCTGGAGTGGGAAGGCAAGGGGGCAAGGGAAAATAGGGAACATATTTTTTCATCGTAAATCTTGTGCTAGGTATCAACACATATTTTTATGATAAAAATTATTTTTTAAAGCACTGCATTTATTACAGAAAAAAATCTGCACCTGAAAGATAATGATAACTAATGCCAGAATTCACTCCTGGACTCAAGTGATCCTCCTGCCTCGGCCTCCCAAAGTCCTGGGATTACAGACGTCAGGCACTGCACCTAGCCAGAGTTGTTTTTGTTTTTTTTTTTTTTTTAAAACATGGGGTCTTGCTATTTTGCCCGGGCTGAAGTGCAGTGGCTACTCACAAGTGCTGTCATTGCAATTCACTGTCATAAATTTAAATGAATTTTACTCACAACTTTTAAAGCAATAAATTCAAAATCTGGGAGGGATAGTTAATACAAGTGATGACAAAATTATAATAGAAAATGTGTAACAACAAGCTCGGAACAGTGGCTCATGCCTATAATCCCAGCACTTTGGAAGGCAGAAGTGGGAGGATACCTTGAGCCCAGTGAACTATGCTCATGCCTCTGCACTTCATCCTGGGTGCTGGAGTGAGACCATGTCTCAAAAAAATAAAATAAAGATGCATGGAAACAAAACAAGAAAAATTTAAGATTTTATAGCAAACTACAGAGTTTTTCTATAACCAACTATATACCCACTATCTCTACTTTGTTGTTCTGAATCTCAAACCTAATATATCTAAATGCAACTGATTTTCTTCCCCAAAACTTATTCTATACCACGTCTTCACCATCTCAGTAGATGCCCTCCCCTCAACTCCAGATGATTAAGCAAAAAGCCTAATCGTCTTCGCTGCCTCTCCTTCTCTCACACTTCTATCCTCTATCAGTCCCAGTTTCTCTGCAATAGTTTCCTAACCGGTGCACGTATTTTCTCTGCCTCCCACAATCAACTATGTACTCAGCAGGCACAGTGATTTGGGGGATAAGGAGAGGGAGAGCAAAAGCAGTTACTTGGGAACT